TGCCTTTAGATAGTTTTTTTTCTACTCTTCTAGTTAACAGAAATCTCAGAATGATATACCTCTATTCAATCTTTGCAGAAAAATAAAAGGTATACAAAACAAGTGCAGCCCCATGAAATGAAACAAAAGATGAAGATACTGAGACTGGTCATTATGTACTATACTACGCAGTATAGGTGTTGAAAAAAGAAATCGAAGAATGACATGAGATAAACTAATTTGCAAAGTACAGAACTTTTCATTTAACCCTAACATAACACTAACTCCCCACCAAGTTGACGTGAACAAGTCTCAATTTTCTAGTCTTAGTTTTATTGAAAGAAAAAGAATATCAGCTCTCATGGCTGATTAGGGAAGAGTATGACACTAAATACATATATTAATTAATATAATCAGAATATCTTTAGTGGTTTTTAGAATAATATCCAGGTATCTTTAGACTGATTTAGACATAGAGTTCATGCTGATTTTTTTTTAAACAGTGGAACACATTCTGAGGGCGATTGTGGATGATCTTTTAGCTTCAATAAGAATATAAATAGAAAAGAAGGACTGGCTCCAAAGGAAGAAGTAGAAAACACTTGCTATACTTTCCTTCTCTGTTTAGCTATTATAATTTAATTACTGATATTAGTAAAAACAATTTTGGACTTCAGTAATCAAAACTTAATATAGAGATATAAATAACTAATTAAAAACAAGCTGAGAATTATTATATCACTATTATTTTTCATTCAACCCTGTATAACAAAAACTATCATAGCAATATGAATTAAATGTATAGCACTAATCTTGGGAGAAGTCAGGGCTAGGATTCATAGGCACTTTTTAAAAAGCCTTAGGAATGGGAGGTCAGGGCTAAATAGAGCCAGAATTATTTAGAGTAAACCCTTGATTTTTGCAGACCTCAATTTAATGGACAAAATTTCTAGTCCGCATGTCATATGTGAATATTAACACTGATAACTTTAAAATGTTTTTACCCAAGTTTTGCTTATAATTAAATTAACAGATTATTATTTTTTATTTTTGTTATTAATTCACTGCTATTTTTTTAAAACAAATTTTAGTGAATAGGCCATATGATAGAAAAACACTGTAGTAATTTCACTGACATAAATAAATATTACATACCTACAACTATAGTCTACATATTTAAATCTAAGAGCCAACACTCATAAACAATGTTCAACGAATGATTAGCACGTGACCACACCGCAGCGCTTGTGCTACTTGGTTCTGTTGTCCTGTGGCAAGACTTTCTGCAGCAGTTTTAACGCATGCCTGCTGATGGTTGGACTTGTGCTAAGCCATGCCCCAGTGTCAGAGCAAGTTCCTCCTCCAACCCTGCTAGCTGCACTAACTGTTGGGAACACAGCTCCTCATTTATCCTATGCTTGCTGCACCATATGTTGGCGGCATAGATCTTGATCCTGCCCTACTACGCCAGTTGGATCCGCGCCTCTCTGCCGGGGGCTGAACCTTCTTGGACATCCAGCATGCTCTGAATAGGGCCTTCACACTCTTAACTGGCCTTGAGCATCCGGCATATTCTGAATAGGGTCCCCAACCCAGCTTTGTGCATTTGTTTACTTGTGATGACTGATGAATGCATGCATTTACTAAACTTACTCAGTTTAAAATTAAAATTACAGTATACATTTAGAAAAGTTTTCTGTGAAATTAAACTTTTCATACATACTTAATTTTAATTACACAAATATGTCCACATAAGTAAAAACAAGTAAACTAACTAATTTGTCAAGTTTTTAACATGCATTTAGAAAACCTTCTTTATTATATAATGGAGTTTCAGCTATAATGAACACTCCCTCTCCTGAATTAATCTGTTATATCGAGGTTTTACTATACAACAATAATTTAGCTTTTCTTCTGCCATATTTATATCATATACCATTTTTGAGATTTACTTCCATTTATCTTAGAAATGTATATTCAGTAGAAGAGCTAAGTATTCTGAGTCTGAACTACTGGTCACAAAATACTATTTTTGCCTTTGATTATATAATATATGCACAGTATTGAGTGGCTATAAGGTATTGTTCTCTTTCAAAGTGTTATCTTAAGCATACAATCCTTTGTCTCAAGTAAGATGTTACATGATGGTGTTCCTGATAAAGATGCTTACTATTTTATTTTTAAACAAAAAATATCTTACAGTTAATCCTAAAGAATATGAGTTGAGAAAAGTCTGTTAATTCAGAAAAAAGTCTACTTGCCAGAATACCTATACTCTAACATAGATCATTTTCCTTGACAACTGAAATTGAATCATAAAGGCTCTATCACTTGGATTCAGCCCATAAATTATAATCCTGTTGACACATCTAACAGGGGACAGAAGAGACAGTCAACAGAAAAGCTCCAAATGAAGTCTCATGAATAGATCCTCAGAAAATTATATAATTGAATAAGAAACACAGATTTTGCAAAGGAAGTTTTTATTTTGTAATGAATCCAGAATGTTATTAAATCAACCTCAATGCTAGTGTGGCTTAAGGGTCCTCTGCTCTGCCAATTTAATCTGTATTTCATAAACATGAGCATGAAGCTACAGCTAGAAAAGAGGGAGAAAAGAGAAAAAAAGTAAACAAAAATGGAGATGAGAGGACAAACCAATCAGATTTGGAATTACCAGTCAGCAGAAGTTTAGGGGAAAAAAAATCACCAAGTAAAATCGTACATGTACTCTGAGAGAGTATCCTTTCACATTGCCTTCTAGGTGATCTCTGAGCTCATCCAGCTTTCGATGGAGCTACATGTAAACATCAAAAAATGAATTGAAAAAGCACCTTGTTCTCTTTTCAGTTTTTCTTTTAAAAATAAGATCATAGCATTGCACATTTCTCACTGCCTTTGGCAAACATTTCAACACATCAAAGATCTTTGTATAATACAAGAATACATGCTAAATAAAGCTGTGACTAGGGAAGCCAATATTTTAATGATTGCATCTTGTCTCCCCAAAGCATTAGAGAAAAGAAATACTGTAACTACCCTTTTAATCCCCTAGAGATCCACTTAAGATTTTTCTATTTGGTAGAAATATGGAGTAAAAATATTTAAAAATTATGAAATTTGCCTTTCTTTCCCAAATACACTTTTTGATTTAAGGCTGCATCCACATTAAAGTAAACTGACTGAACCCAAATATCTATCTTTTGTTCTTATAAATAATGTGTGTATATATATAATCATACTGTATATATACTTAAAAACAACGAACATACAATTATAACTTGAAGTTCTATACACACAAAAGCTGAACACAGAGATAATTAAACACACACATACTCACACATACAATCCAGTTTATAGCAGATGGTGCTGCAGTTAGGGATGCTATTTGATCTTTATTTAACTATCAATAACTTCTCCAAAGTTATGTTGCTCTGCACATTTGAGTGTGAGTCATAATCCATAGTCTAAATGATTATAGATTTAACTTTCCTTAAAGACAAAGGTAAAATATGATAGATACCTCACAGTAGACAGTGAGGAATGTTACTAATAATCATCAGGATACATAAACTAATATATTTGTGACTGAATAATTTTAACTTGCCTCATTTTTGAAATAGAAATTTAATCAACACTTCCTATCTCCTCTGATTATCCTTAGTGAAATAACATTTTAAAAAATGATACCCAGTATATAGCAGTGTTAGAGAACAGAGAGGATGATTTGTCTGGAATTAAGGACACAAACGTACAGACACACCTTCATCCATGTGCAATCACACAAGTGGCACACACACAAATAAACAAATACAAAAAAAGTAAAATTAAGAAGGCAGAAGAGGCAAGGAGAGGAAAAAGTGCAGAAATTAGTGCTTAATAAATTGTTAAATGGAAATAAACTGAAGGTGTGTAAAATTTTGAAATAACTTAATATTAGGCCTCTAGAATCTAAACCAGCGGTCACCAACCTTTCGGACCTCACGGACCACCAGTGGTCCGCAAACCAACCGGTTGGCAACCGCTACATAGTTATTGAATTTTGGAAACATCCCAGTGTAATGAAGTCATTTTGATTAGTTTAATAGTTACTACTGTTGCAAGAACAAATGGGATTGACATATAAGAAGCTGTTAATTTGGGGGGGGGGGAATTCCTTTGTGTATTTTAAAAATTCAAATTTTATCTTACATTTATGGGGGCAGCATTAAAAATTATCAATGCAACTTTTAACTATGTCTGTGTTTCTTAGGATTGATAACTTGTTTACCTACTCATTGTGACTAAATGTTAGAGTATCAAGTACCCAAGATATTTAACAGCTAGTAAATGGGACCATCAGATCAGAAATATTTAAGTTGTAAATTAGCAAATCACATACAAAAATGGGCAAACATTAGATGTATATTGTTTCTGCTGATTGTTATATCAATTTTTTAATTTAAAAAATAAAATAAAGGGGATTGAGTGCTTAAATACTGTTAGCTATAATGTGAGCCCATTATACCAGCATCATATAACATTTCTAATTCTTAAGATTTTTATATATGTATAAAATATGTTATTAATTCATAATTATTTTTCTGGAATAAACATAAATGGTAATAACACCAAAATAATACTTAATTATTTTTTATAAAAAACATAAACAGGGAAGATAGTATTCTGAAAATAAATATTAGTTCTCTGTATAACAGGAACTTAACACATAGTGACATCAGTCAGAGGAACGGTTTACTCTAGAACCCCAAATTATGGCACCTGTAGTGAGGCAGTTGCCCTTTTTCTTGTCTGTAGTGCCATTCAAAGCTAGTTATTTGTCAGCTTGCCTTCAGCTGGTTGCTCTATGTGTAGCTGAAACAAACAAAAAATATGACCCAACAGCCAATAAAAATATTAAAATAAAAAAAAATGGGATGGTGAAAAATGGAAAAAGCTCCCTTCCTCCCACCACCCGCCAAAAAGGAAGAAGTGTAGGCTATAGACAAAATCTTGCCAAAAAATGTTAGAAACATATTTACTTTGAGGGATCCAACTCTACTAGCAACTCCTTTGCTTTCATCCGGCCGTCTAATTTGCTACAATGAGGGAAGATGGGTAAAAAAGACAGAATAAAGAAAAAGTGAACTTAAAAATTTTTCTACGCATTAGTAAATACATGCAAAAACATCAATTGACTCTTTGAGGTACCTCTTAGGAGGTCAAGGAGTTAACTAACCCAGAGGCTATATGACATGCTCTGCAAATAGGCTAGTCAGTAGAATGCAATCATTGTTATGGCACTATTCCTGATGAAGAAATGTGCACTTACTTTCAGTTATCTTGGGGATTTCTGATGAAGCAGTATCTGGGGTAGTGTTACATTTGCATTTGGTTTATGAAAAACAAAGAATTACAAATATACCTATGCATAGAACTTTGTTTCTTTCAGTGTTTTAGTATCTATTCCATTGTAATATCAGAAAACATTAATGATATGATTAGAAACATAAATGTTCCCCAAGTGGAAAGATCAGTCCTGACAAGCATCATTCTTAATAGGTGACAGAGTGAAGATCCTCCGCTTGCTGACCCAAGCATTGAGGTTGTTCAGCTGTCACTGAGATTCCCAATTAAACAATTGTGCTGCCCAACCAGAAAATTTTAATGCCAGACCAATGTCAGATACAGTCACTCCCTCAAAGCTTTCTGTATTTCAGTTGAATCTTCCTCCTAGGTAAGAGGGGAAAATAAAGTTGCCATTTTAAAAACTCGTTTTATATCATTACATAAATGAGAAAAAGAAGGTTCTTAACACAAAATGTTTTATCAGATGAGGGATAAACTAGAAATTCATTTGCTTTTTAGTAGAGCTGTAACAACAACAAATATTTTGTTTAAAGAGGAAGACAAAAAGAAAAAAAAATGAAAATAGAGAGGGAGAAGGGGAAAGAAGCTTCCGATCAAGTGGATTCGTACATGTGCAGAATGATAGCCTCCCTTCAGACTGCACAGGTCAAGTTAGCTGGAATGCTTCTGCTTGTATTAGGAGACAGCAGAGAAGCATCAACATGATGTCAAGTTCTGAGTGTTAAAATCTCCTGAAGAAAAGAAACCTGACCATACTACAAAATTATATTTGGCACACTACATATTGTTTTATCCTTTTTAGGACATCTCAAATAGTATATGGAGATTACTAAATACTAAGAATTGAATTTTCATTTTGAAAAAAAAAAACAGCATCTTGGCACATAAGAATTTTAATGCCAACTTCTGGTTTTAGTCAATATAAATAGTTTCTACTAATTCTTCAGCATTAACTAAATTTATGCCCAAATAATAATCACCAATTCTCATGCTTAGTCAAACAGAATTCTCAAATTTAGAAACAATGAAAACCAAGTAGAATGTCTACCCGCTATAAGACAGGGCCTTTGTGTAGACAATGTGTTCCTAGTAATTCTCTTGTGCTATTTTCTTTGACCTCAGAGCACATTTTCATATCAAAAGTTGTTTCCCTTTTTAAAGGGAGACTCACTATATCTTGATTACAAAGATAAACTATGCAGTTTCCAATAAAAGTATAGTCTAGTGACTCATGCTGCTTTCTGAAAACTTTCAAAAACTGTGAAGATTTTCAGCAAATTTTCAGTAACAAGTGAATGCCACTTTCTACATACATATTTTTTTTAATTTCCAGAGAGCTTAAAATTACATCAAGTCTAGCAACATAAGGTATCTTATTCAAGGTTACACAAAATATTAATGACAAATCAAGGAACAACATCCACAGTTCCTAATTTATAGTTTAAGGTTGTATTTCCTTAATAGGCCTGGAAATAAATGGGTAGGACAAAAATTGATGCTTATTAGATTATATGTATGTATATATCTCTTTATCTCTCCATCTTAAATAAATTTTGTTATTATATGAATTATAAGAGAGAAAAGATAGTCACTATTGAACACTAAACATGAAAAAAAAGACTATAATACTAATTTAAAGATAGATTTTTGGAGTAGACAGCTCATTTGTCAATGCTTGAGATAAATTTTCTGCATATAAATTGGATATTGTAAATTGAAACTATCATAAGAGGAAGACTTTAGAAAACCAATGTGGTTATCAAAGTCAGAGTTGTCATGTAATATTTTTGTGGCTCCTACAACAGGTAATAATTCCAAATACTAAAAATTTTCAAAGAGAATCTGAAAAAGATTTGTCTCATAAACAAAAATTTGAGAAGTAGAGAAAAGTTAAATGAATAGATTTTGAAATGCAATGCTCTCACTTATTCTAGTCAACCCTTAATAATCAAAGATGGAACAGAATAAGAGAAATCACAAAAGATTAGCATTTGAATAAAATGAATTAATTTGGTCTTCATGATAATTGTAAGAGCCTCACATGTTAGCTAATTTTATACATACATTTCTCTGAGGCTAAACATTCTCTATCAGTAACTAAGAGAGGTTAAACTGCAAATGTTTCTGTTACATATAGGATCATTGCAATATTAATGAAATTTTTATAATCAGGTGTAAAGAACTGTAAGGATTATGAGTTGGTTGAAATTATTAATTATTTACATATACTGAAAAATAAAATGTCAGTTGCAAAACAAAAAATGTTATCACTAATAATTTTTCTATCTTGAAGAAATCCTTCTACAAGCATTTTACTGAGATTGTAAAAGATATAAACCAGAGGATCAAAACCATTTCAATATTCTATTCAGCCTCCCAGCTAGAATATTTAACAAAACATTTATTAAAAATAGTCTGAAAATATTGCACAAATGTTCTTTTGTAACATTCTAGGAATCTTTCTTTAGGATTACTGGAGAATCTATCCTTAGGGATTAATTACCAGTATGTGTCCTATAAAACAGTGAAATCACTGCTGTTTATAGTCAGCTTTTTAATAAAAGTTTGAATTCTAGAAATATCATTTAAAAAAGACATTGCCTGAAAGCGAATACAATATGGGTTGTTGATTTGCTTTGTTTTAGTCTAATTTTTCAAAACTGAGCTCACTGTAAAATCATTTCGACTGCTAAGAAGGTAAAAAATTATTCCTCTTGCCAATAATAAGTAGTTGTGTTATGTTTTTATTGAAGCAAACATATAGATTTTAGAGTAGAAATCCAACTTTATATTAATTTTTTTAAAGATATGAAATTTCAAAGAAAGTTTAGGCTTGTAAAAGCCACATAAAGGTAAGTGACTATATCACTGGGTGTATGCATTCACATTTCTCTTTATTACAAAATGTTTGCTGAAAATTTTTGAGAAAAGGTTTATATTTTGTGTGTTTGTTTTATTGATAAGAGAACTCAGGTTTAGAGAGGTTCAGTGGCTTTCTGGAGAACTAGAAATTAAGAAAATTTAGACTTTCATCTATGAAATGACTAATGTAGACTCCCATCCTTGTCCCCTGACATATTTTCTATTGATTTAGATTATGTAGATTAAACAAATTTTTCTGTTTGTTTGCCTTAGGGCCTGAATTCTTTTATTTTTAGAATTATCTAACTGACTCCTAATTACCCTGAGAGACAAACATTTTTAACCTGATTTTATTATGCCACTTTTTAAAAAGTATGGGCATCAGTAATAGAAAAAAAACTTCTTACTTAGAAACTATCTTCCAACCAATACCACTCAGTGTATATTAGTAAAGCTATAGATTGTTTCTGGTAGTTATGATTTGGAGGAGGACATTAAAAAGAGTTTTACTTTCAACTTGAAAATTTGAACCAACTTCTGTAAGTAAGAAAATACTTTTTTAGGATTTGTCTTTAATCCTGAAGTTTTGGCATGGCCAATTTTAGAATATATATCATTTTAAAATATAATGATCCAGAGAATAATTTAATTTGGGATTTGCTCTTTATTAAAGTCATGAATGAGATGAGACATGGCCAGTTAATTATATGGATATTTATTTATTTATTTATTATTTATTATTTATTTATTTATTTATTTATTTAAAATGTCGACCCTTCTTGCCCTTTTTTTCTTGGGTGGTTTTTTTTTTAAAATATATATTTTACTGATTTGGGAGAGGGGAGAGATAGATATATCAATGATGATAGAGAATCAGGGGAGAGAGAAGATAGAAACATCAATGATGAGAGAGAATCATTGACTGGCTGCCTCCTACATATCTGGAACTGGCACGTACCCCTAACCTGATTCGAACCTGGCACCCTTCAGTCTGGAGGCCGACACTCTGGCCACTGAGGCAAACCAGCTAGGGCAGTGGTTCTCAACCTTCCTCATGTTGCGGTGACCCCCAATTTCATTGTTACAAATTGAACATAATTAAAGCGTAGTGATTAATCACAAAAACAATATGTAATCATATATGTGTTTACTGATGGTCTTAGGCAACCCCTGTGAAAGGGTCGTTCGACCCCCAAAGGGGTCGCGACCCACAGGTTGAGAACCACTGAGCTAGGGCAATTATATGGATTTAAATCATGGCTCTATCTAATAAATTCTGTTGCTGAAATAATGATGGCATAGGTTATTTCTGTTGAGCTGCTTTTGCACAAACATGCCCCAAACTATCAAAAAGAAGTTTAAAGGAATCAAAACTTTTTAATTAAAATGAAAGCTAGTATTCTTAATTTAATTATTCCTTGTATTTCTATACTTCTCACTTTCCTATTTTCCTATCGCTTGCACAAACTCTAGTGGATACCAAGATAAATCATTATTTCATTTAACAGAATTAAGCTTGACCTAAATGAGAAAAATCTTGACTAAAGTTAGAGCATTTTCAGTTGATAATCCCCAACTTTATGTAGTAACATGGAATGTAAAGGCTGGATAAATAAATATAAATTATTTTATATTAATTGGATATTAATATAACATCAGAGAGGAGGGCTAAACAGAATGGTAATATTTATTCAGTCAGTATAGAAACTTATTTCAAAGAAACAGATTTATAGGCCTACAAGGAACTTTAGAGGTTACTTAATTTAATACCATGATATTATAAATATAAAAACTGAGGTCTATTTAAAAAATATTTCAAAGTGGCAGTTGGGCTGACCCTCAATATTTAGTGCCTCATAGTGCAATT